AGAGAGAGAGAGAGAGAGAGAGAGAACAAGAACGCTTGGAGATGGGAAAATGGGAAATCTGGGTTCCAAAATCCTAAATCTGATTCGTAATAGCTAGGCAAGACATTCAGTCACCCTCAGCCTAAGTTTCCTTATCTGTAAAATGGGGATAATACCTACTTCACAAGCTTGTTGTGAGGCTGGAACAAGAGAATGTAGGGAAAGTGATACAGAAATGTTGGGTATTTGTGTATTTCCTCCCCCAGACTAGAAGCCCCTTAAGGGCATAGGCTATTCTGCTTGGCATTCTTGGTGCTTTGTGCATAAAAGGTATATAATAAATGCTGGTTGAATTCAATTGTCTTTGAATCCCTCACATCAAGGAAAACATATTTATATTTGTATATACACATGCACACACGTATACACATATGATATATACATATATACATATGTGTGTGTATGTATGTGTGTATTTTGGTACAGAATGGGATTCCCTTGGTGTGAGTATCTCCCTCTACCAATGAGATCAGCACCTGATTTGTCATAGAGTTGCTCTCGCGAAGGAAACAGCCAGATTCTCAAGCACCACCTCAGTGGCTGTTATGACTCTCCCACACAAGGCTGAACTCACTCCTCCCAAATAAAAGATCACTGCCCCCCAGGGACACAGAATTCCATCCTGGCCCAGAGGAGGACATGCCGGGGCCCTCCTGGAAGCGGCAGAATCCTGGCTGCCTGCCATCTTGGACTCGCCTGTTCCAGGTACTGGTGGTTGGGTCAGTGACTTGAGCCATCCCCTGCCATGGTCACTGTCCATCTCCTCTGGATCCCTCTTCTAAGACTCAATCATTTACCCATCATCTTCCCCGCTGGAATATGAGCACCTTGAGGGGAGGAACTATCGTGGTTGTATCCACCGCTCAGCACGGTCCCTGTTTAATAAATGTGTTTGCTGCCTGCCTGCCCCAAGTTCCAGAAGGCATTTCATCCTGTCCCCCCCACCAGGCCTGACCATAACGGCTTCCTGAGGCATTCTCAAGGCGCTGCTGACGCAGGCCATGCCCCCACCCCGCCATCATCAACCTGTCTCATTTATTTTATCAAAGTCTATGAAGGAAGAGAAATGATTCTGCAAATGTCCTTCAAAAACATTAAATCCCACAGGAATAAAAAGATCTCTCATTACATAATCCCCATAAAATGCCTTGAAAATCCCCAGTTCAGAGCGTCTCACCCTCCTCATTCAGTGGGTTTTATACTCTGTTGGCCAAGTTCAAAGACAGGCTGCTGTCTGAGCCAACCGTGAGCCTGGCCAGGTTTCCTAAAGGAATGCTGGGGGTGGAGTATGCTGACTTGAAAGGGCTCCCTCAGGTACCAGGCCTAAACAACCAGGGGCTTGCAAAGCGGGTCTCCCCAAGAGCTCTGCAGCTCTTCCAGGCCCTCCCGTGGGGCCCAGTCAGCTGGCTCTGTGCTGCCTCTTGCCAAGAGACACTGAGCAGGAGACAAAGATAAGGAAGATTCGATCTGGGCCCTCAAGGAGCTTTCAATCTAGTCCAGGAAAGGGCCCGGGGATCCTGAAAAAGGAAGCTGTGACAAAGATCATGAGCTTCATGGAAAATGAGACCTTCCTAGGACCTGGAAGCGTCCACTCAGGGACACACGAACACGGCACAGTGGAAAAGGTGCCGCAGTCAAGGACTTGGGCTGTGGTGAGGAGCAAATGAGGTAACATGGGTGGTGCTTAGCATGGTCGCCGGCACACAGTAGGTGCTATATAAATGCCTGCTCCCTCCCCTTCCCCCAAATGCTTGTTGACTGAATACCTCACAGGGCTATTGTGAAAGCAAATGAGATAATCCATAAAGAGCTTTGCAAATCCCAAAATGCTATTTGTAGCACTTTACACTATTAGATATTAACATAGTATATATTATAGCATGTTATATATCATATTAATATATTATATTGTGGCATATATTATCATATATGACAAACACAATATATAATGTAATGTAGTATCATATAAAAGATATCATTATGGCATATATATTATTATATAGTGACATGTGTTAGAACATCTAACATGTTAATTATATATTTAATATATGATTTATTATATAACATAGCTAATATAATAATACAATGTTATACAATTTTAATATAAAATGTAATTTGTATGATATATAATTAATAATTATAATACATAATAACATACTGTGATATTCAACATATTAATGTATAACATATATTTATAAACACTTATTATTAAAGACAGAAGGGCTTTGGGTTCAGTCCCCTCGTGTGGAAAATGAAGGGCAGGAGAATGAAATGGGAACCAGGGGCTTGGAGGTGAAAAGACATGGCCAAGGTCATGCAGGAGGTAAATATCTAAGGGGGTATGCCATGGTCAGTCTGTCCCAGCTCTAAATCCAGACTCCATCATGCACAGCGACGAACACAGAGACAGTGTTGTCCAAGGAGGACATCGGGTCCCACCATCATGATGGGGTCTACCAAGGAACTTCAAACAAACAGAAAAACAAAACTGAAGACTTTAGGGGTGCTGGCTTTTTCTCGTCTGAGCCCTGAATAAATGATTCCCCTCAGGGCATTCCTAGGGGTCAAGAGAAAAGTGGTCACTAAGTGGAGAACACCTGCAGGGAAACTGAGTCAGAGTCTGGAGTGAACCTGCTCACCAGTGCTTCAGAGAAAGCGTCCCGGGAAGGATCCGGCAGGACCCAGGGCTGTAACTGGGGCTTCTCCAGAAGCAGGGAAGGAGCCGTCCAGCAAGCCTGAGGTATTTCAGGCATGCTCTGTCCTCCCACCAGGGGGCAGAAAGCCCAGCATCACTAACTGAGCCTGGGCTGGCCTCCTGGACCTGGGCAGGTACTGAGAGACAGTAGGATGTCTTCAGAGATGCTGAGGCCAAAGATTAACCAGGAAGAGAGGGCGGGGACAATTTGGCCCCAGGGATAAGCGGGCAGTCAGGGATGTGGGTGAGATTGGAGGAGACTCAGGTGTAAAGAAAGCAGCCTCAAGAAAAAAAGAGCATCTGGCAAGCAACAAGCATTTATGGAGCGCCTATTGTGTGCCAGGCATTGTGCTGTGCCCTGGGGACACAAAGGGGGCCCCAAAATGTCCTCTCTCAAGCTCACCGTCTAATTGGGAACAGCTCGCAAACATGCACAAAGGAGTCACATGGAGGAGAAACAGGAGATAGTGGGAGGAAGAAAGGGGCCGGCATTGGGGGATCAAAAGGGCTTTCTGCAGACGGTGGGATTTGGGCTGGGGCCTGAGAGAATGGGGAGGCAGAGATGAGGAGGGAGAACATTCCAGGCAGGGGGTACAGCCAGGGCAAATGCCCAGAGTCTGGAGATGGAGGGTCTTGTTCGAGGCCAGTGTGGCTGGATCAGAGTATGAGGACGGGGCTGAGGTGGGAGGACAGAGGGGCTGATGGGACTGAGAAGGGGCCTAAGGGCTCTCTCCTACAACCCTCTCACTCCACAGGTGAGAAACTCAACCAGAGATGTTCTGTGACGTCCAAGGCCAGACGGGTCATGGCAGCAGGGCCTCTGACTCCACAAGGCAGTCCTCCAAAGCACACACGCAGTGCGTCTGACACGGAGCACTCCAGATAGAGCCGTTGTGCTGGATGCCATGCAGGGTCCCTGCTCTCCAGGCGCTTCCAGTCTGGCTGGGGAGACGAGAACCGAGCGGGCAGATCTCTAGGCCAGGGGCGATGGGGGTGAGGTGTGATCCTGAGTAAGGGCACAGGGCGGCTACTTGCCAGCTGAGGATGCTGGTAGAGCCAGAAGGGCCTCCCAAGCTGTCCGCCATCTTCCATCCATTGAGCAGATGATTCCAGAGCCTGGCTGAGTCACCTGAGTACCAGGAAAGCAAAGCCTGGAGGTGGTCATGCAACCACACTGTTTCCCTTCCCCCTTCATTCTGTTAATTTGTTCAGCTCTGAACAGATCCACCGCAGACCCTTCCCCACCCAGACCCTCTCCAGAAAGCATCTTTGTCCCCAGAGTGTAAGGAGCGCTCGTTTTTGTCATCGTAGCTCATTCCTGAGGCAGCCAGGGGGCGCCATAGCGCAGCGTGCCTGGAGTCAGGAAGACTCATCTTCCTGAGTTCAAATCCAGCCTCAGACTCTTACTAGCTGTGTGACCCTGGGCAAGTCACTTCACCCCGTTTGCCTCAGTTTCCTTATCTGTAAAATGAGCTGAAGAAGGAAATG